GTTTGAGGAGTAGGGTACATACCAACCGAAAGGAAGATCACCGTGCCATATATGCACTTCCAATGAAGCTTTAGTTTACTGGTCTGTAATTAGAAACAGGTTTACAAAATAAATGTCATGAATTTAAAGTTTTGATGTAAATTTATGAATAATAAATTTTCTAAGTATCTATGTGGCTTATCTTATCATAGATCATCTCGACTAGCATGCAGATATTGGACGGTACGTGCCTCCCTAATAACCCAAGTGGGAGGGGCCTACTTAATTACACAACTTAGAGAATGTGCCCCCCACCCCCGCCCTTTGAGGTAATCATCATTTTACTGTATTTTATTTGTCTTTTGTCAGATGATATTGGGCTGCAGCCCACAGTAAGGCGGTTCCACTATACAGACACATACTCTTAATTGACACTTTACTACGATTCCTAAAGCCTTGGTCAGAGCCTGGTACTACCAGTCTCTGGATGTGTCGAATAAAGAGCAGCCTATGCAAAGAGTGCGGACACTGTTAGGCACGGTGACTGACAAGACTTTGCGACTGTAAACTACAGCAGTTCTGTGGCCAGTTTAATAACTAACTGACTATTGATAAAAAGTGGTATTCTGAACTCATGTTAAGTTTAAAAGAATAAAAGCATTAGCTTTTCATAGGTTGTAAGCCTTCCAATCGTGAAATCTAGGATTCAAGCTTTTTCTGCAAGATGGACACAACTTTAGCGACTTTTACACTGTAACCCTTTCTCATAGAATAAAAACAACCTTTAGGATCATCATTGTGATTATTAATCACAAAAAAATAGATCATAAGGTCATGTATACAAACATTTTTTTCTTTTGTCGTCAGTTCTTACCATTTTTATGAATCCTCAATCATGAAGTCCTTGACGTTAGGATGATTATGCGTAATGGAACTCTGTTCTATCCAAGTGTGACTTATTCTCACATTTAAATCCAGTCCAGGAATCAGCTAGGTTGCGAACACAAAGCAATGTATGCATTACGTTTTGAGTCGCGTAGCAGCAGTAGGCACGGATCAAATGCACCCCTCACGATGATCTTAATTGCACGTTCTCTCACATTTCAGAGTAAGAAGATGTTTCTACCCCCTTCACCCCCCCCCCCCCCGCCACAGTGCCCCCTAAATTCATGGGACCATGAGACTACGTTATTGCAGTGTTGCATAGCAATTACACGCGCAAGTGCAAGTCGAGGCGCCGCTCATATAATTGCAAAATAAAGTTAAACATAAATTCAATGCAAGGCGCCGCTCATATAATTGCAAAATAAAGTTAAACATAAATTCAATGCAAGGCGCCGCTCATATAATTGCAAAATAAAGTTAAACATAAATTCGATGCGAGGCGCCGCTCATAAAATTTCAAAATAAAGTTTAACATAAATTCAATGCAAGGCGCCGCTCATAAAATTTCAAAATAAAGTTAAACATAAATTCAATGCAAGAGTCATTGTGAAGTGCTTCAGTACAAATAAGTTCATTTACCTGTTTTACGAATAAATGTATTTTAATATTGAGAATGCGAATTGCATATATCACGTGTTGTTAGGTAAGGTAACCCATACTTTTTCTACCACCTATTAACTTCACTGCCTAGTAGTTTATCTTCTTCGATTGATCTTTCTCGCTCCACAGATTGTCTGAAGAGTTGAAGCAGCATTTCAATCTTGAATCGGGTCAATGTTTTGTGCTTCATTACAAATGATTTCTTCACCAGTTTTACGAATATTTTTTTTCTTAATATTCAGAATGCGAATTGCACACATTACGTGTTGTTAGGTAAGGTAACCCATACAGTTTTTCCCACCTAGCAACATAACTGATATGATTGTTAATAATGCTTAGCAGACATCTTACTCTTTATACCTTAGGGCCTTTTTAGATGAGGTGGGTTTATATAAATTACTATTTCCAATTTATTATTTTAAAAAAGAAGAAATATAAACAATTAACCGATCAAAGCATTTGCGGTATTGTTTAATACTTTACCAGTCACTGGTCTCAATTACGGTTTTGCGCTTAACGGTGTATTCTCTCCATATTCCAGCCAGAGCGTGCACATGATAATTCAATTACATTGACTCTGAATTTCGGTTTGAGTCTCCTGTTTTCTTAGCTGAGGCTGTGTGAATGAGAGTTGAGTTCCACCAATGCAAGTTCCAACTGAGTGATTCTGATGATCAGATCAGATGGATGACAAACTGTTTTAAACTATTTTACCAGCTCAAGAATAAATGATTTGTATGATCAGCTATCGCGTGACTGGATGATATAAGAAGTGGTTGCATGACCTATTCATGTAAATGTATTACCCTTTTTAATATCAGCATTTCCTGCTATCACTCTTTGTTTTTACTTCTAGCACCCCCCCCCCCCCTCTTGCCATTATGACAGTATAGGTACTGTAGTTACGTCCTTAAAAAAGTAAAATCAAGAAAAACTTAGACAATCATCTTCAAGATTACATAAGAGAATTAACACGTTATGAAGGGCGGGAATATCTACACGGAGTGCGAGTTCTCGTGGCAGATTTGTTATAAGTCTGTTCATTGTTACAGGGGTTCCCCATCAGTGAGAGAAGGTCGGCTCCGTTGATAGTTGACAGATATATAGAGGCATATCGTGGTTGTGTTGATAACTCACCGAGCTATGTACTACAATGCTCAGAGTTCAAATCCATGCCACATAACACTGTTGCCATTTGGGAAGACACCAATCTTCATTTGCGTTTCTCCAACGCAGTGAAAAGTTGAATCCAGAAAACCCTAGACAATCGTCTTCAAGATTACATAAGCCATGTTCAGACGGGGTTTTGCTAGTCGGCGTAAGTTAATCCCTGCAGCAGACCAAACGGCGATTCACCTCTTAGACTTAGGGCTAGTCACATGTGGGGTGTGTGTCGTAGTCGAGTGGTTTAAGCACTTAACTGGAGATTCAAAGGTTGTTATTTTAAGCCCTGATCCGACATCATAGTATCCTATAGTAAGGCATTAATATACTTTTGCCACTCTTTACTAGGATGTTAAATGGGTTCCGGTAGATAGGAATTCATGCAATTCTATATAAAGCACCTATAACCGGTGGTTACACTCCATCAGCCGGGTGATATTGGAGGATATGAGCGCTGTGAAAATAAAAGAATTTGGAAAAAAGTCTCCCAAACGATATATATATCAAAATAATCAGAGACAATTTTCATTCCAATGAATAGCAGAGACTATCGTCCTTTAATTGACACTAAACAATCTGATGTTTTTGCAATATACATTTTAGAGACTTTGCGAGCAGTCCACCTTTTCTGAGACTCGCTGTATATCTTAGATTCACATACCCATTCAAACTCTCGACTTGATCCCTTTCTACATATCGCACACGCACGCACTCTCTCACACACACCCCGTATCTTGTCTTCACCTCTCTTAGATTGTCAGATCAAAAGCAAAAAGTTATATTTGTTTAATCATTCTACTTCATTTCCAGAGTCGATCTCGCAGCCTTCTTCTTTAATAATAAGCTTTACAAGTATTTACTCTACCACTTGATCTCTCTCTCTCTCGTTCTCTCTATCTCTCTCATTCATTGATATTTTGCTACTTATTTTATTGCTTTGATTATCCAGAATCAATCCCGCAGCCTACTTCTTCAATGGTAAGCTGTACAAGTATTCCCTCTACCAGTACAACAGAAGTTTCGAGTCCTTCAAGGTTTATCTCGGTCCCCTTCATCCAAAATCACAGGAGGCTCGGCAAGGCCAACATGATCTGAGACCATTTATTTTGGTGCAATGGTAATCTTTCCCGGCTGACGTCAGAGACGTTAATGCATTTCAATTGGCCCTGCGACGTTTTTTAAAAGTTATGCCGGAGACGTTTTATCTATCTATTCATAATTCATATGTTTTCGAATAAAATAAAATAAATATTGGAGACAATAAAACGAGTCAATACTCTGAAAAGGAGGGATTAGAATCACTTGCACAACATGTCCTAGGATTGTGTACTTGTTTCTTTTGGTTTCCTTCCCATAGCCATGTCTTCTCTTGGTATTATCTGAAATACCTCAGAGTTTGTATTTAAAATTCATCTTCCCATTAACACCCAATACATTAAAAAACCTGTACACTTCTTCGAGTTGCCTTTTCATAAATTATTTAAATGAGAATGATATGATGAGAAGTACAGAAGAGTAGCAACAAAGACGAAAATATAAACGAGAGATTGTTTATATGAGATCAAAACAATTTAATATTAATAAGATGTGCTTCTTACACTATGTTATAATTATTGAACACGAATGGGGCTGCATGAAAATCGGTACTTCATAATAATCAATGATTATTATTTCATCATAAATATGTGTCTTTTTTAAAATTGAGGACTAGTAGATTGACTGGTACTTTATATGCAAGAATGCAAGAATGTTCGTAAAATATCTATCTCCACAATTCCCTATATATAGTCTCTTCTCTTAATTACGCTTTCCACAATACACTAATGATGGTCATACTAATTCTAATAACGATATGAGCAATGATAATGTTTGCGAAACATGTCAGTTCAATATTAATATATACAAGGCGCAAAGGAAAACAACAAAATAGTTGTATTTGTCTCTTTTTCTGCCTCTTTCCTAAAAACATGAATAAAATTCACTGCATCAATCTTGCAGCCTACTTCTTCAATGCTAAACTGTACAGGTAGTCCCTCTACCAGTAGAAGAGAGATTTCGAGAACTTCACGTTTTATCACGGTACCCGTCATCCAGAATCATATAGTCTCTTCTCTAAAATATGCTTTCTACAATATAATTATGGTAATTATAATACTAATAACAATATGAGCAATGATGAAGTTTGTGAAACACGTCAGTTCAATATTAATAATAAATGTATGTACAAGGTGCAAAAACGCAATAGTGGTAGTTTTCTCTTTTTCTGCTTCTTTCCTAAATAATAATACTAACAGTGAACATTTATAATGCGCTATGTCTGTCAAAATTGTCACTCCTGGCGCAGTTGTGTGAAAAATTGTATAATTGTGGGCATCCGACCATCAAGTAAAATACACTGACATGAGTTAAAGTTTAACATACTTCAGGACACAATTTTGCAATAATAGAATTACAATATTACAGAATTACAATATATTTACATATATATAATTCACTGCATCCTTTTTGTTAAAATTCTTGGAGAAAATAATTAAATCATGCAATGATCTAATTGAGGTTTCCTTCTTTCAAACAGCCGTAAGAAACATTACAGTGCTTTTTCCCTGAATTACCCTCGACAATGTAGGATTATATATCTATTTAAGTGATTATTTTTGAACACTTGTTACAGCAACGCGGCATAACTGCCTTCACGTTAAACCAATACTAAAATGAGTAACACTGTTTTGAGGGTGTTGTAATTGGTGTCTTTATCAAAGGAAAAATGCCTGAGAAGCTATGTGTGACAAGATACAGAACATTAAGTGTGGTGCTCTAAGGTGTGTTCTACGAAACCCGCGGCAAACCGGCACCTTCTTATGACAGGCGTTTGTTATTTACGTCGGGCGAAGCTTCATCTCCGTCTTCTTGAGGGAGTATTTATAACCGCGCCATTCAACCCAGAGCACACCCTTGTGGTACATCCCTGTTAGACCATTCAGGTATTGGCCGTTGAGGTTAGCACGAAGGCACTTATTGTACCACCAGCCTCCTTTGTAACGACCGGCGCAGTGTCCCCCTGAATTATCATGATCGCGGTCCAGTGTACTAAACGGATAACCTGCATGAAACGACATACTGTCACCTGCATAGAAATTAGAAATTGATGTATGGTATACACATGATATAAATCAGTTCACTATTATACACGATCTCTCCGTACTCGATTTAAGGCTGCGTGTATGCATTGTACGAAGCCGTCCGTTCGTCCGTCCATCGGTGAATGCTGTGACTTCTGTATTTCGATGTAACAGACAGATGCGTTTGGGAGCATTCGTTATTACGCATTGATACTTTTTGCAACCCCTCACTTCTCGACTTGATATCCTTTTACGGGTTAAATAAAACAAAAAAAAGCAAACAAAAACAATCCACAACGAACCCCTCCCCCCCCAAAAAAAAAAAACACCGCTGTTGTTTACCTCGTCACTGTGAGAGAGCGTTTGATGGTTAATACCGTTTTACCGTAATACCGTATATTAACTATATAAATGAATTACTGTATTACCCCCATGACACCATTAACGTATAACCGTTTTATTGTTTAACCGTATAAATGTATGATTGTATCACCACAGGGCCTTTTAACCGTATCACAATGAACCATATTAAGAAATTACAGTATACAGAATTGCCCCTTTTTGTTTTGTTAACTGTTTTACCGAATTAGCCTCCCGTATTAACATATTACCGTATAGCTTATCATGTAGTACCATATTACTGTACCTTTGGACGATTCCGCGATTCCGCATTGGTCCAATAAGACATACCCCCATTTATTCCACATAGAAAAAAGAAAGCAGACACCTTAATTGATTTGGCCATTTAATAATATTAGTGATACTAAGAGGAACCACATTTGTGATGAATTAAAATGAATAATATCATGTACAGGACACATTGCAGGGGATCGCCCTATTACATACCTGCGTCTCCGGAGTAGCTGCCAAGGGCCAGGATGTACTTTGCGACCTCGTCTGCAATACTGAAATTGCTGTAGGTGGCATAGCGCGTTTGTCCATCGAAGTCTTCGAGGTCGATCCGTAGCTCGTAGGTCTTATTACGGGAAAGACGGTGGATGTTGTCGTTACCGAGCCAGTGCTCGGAGGAAACGTTTCCAAAACCGTTTTTGTACTCGGACCAGTAAAGAGAGAAGTCAACGGATCCATCTTGTCTACGCTGGAATACCTACAGAGACAGTGGGTGAGAGGGAAAGGGGGAGAAGGAAAGACAGATAGAGATATATATATATATAGAGAGAGAGAGAGAGAGAGAGAGAGAGAAAGAGAGAGAGAGAAAGAGAGAGAGAGAGAGAAATAGGCACAGATATAGAAAGAGAGAGAAAGAAAGAAAGTGAGAGGTAGAGAAAGATATCGAGATAGAGGGAGAGAGAGAGAGAGAGACAAAGAGTTAGGGAGAGACAAAGAGAGAGAGAGAGAGAGAGAGAGAGAGAGTGTGTGTGTGTGTTTGTGTATTAATTATTATTTCAGAACATTAATAACACTTGCGATGATTGAAGATGCGATGTGTATTATCAAAGTGTATGTAATTACTTTTGAACAGTGTATCAACACGAAGAAGAGTGGTTGTTATCACATTTCGCTCCAATCATAAGGATACTGAGTCTAGATTGTGGACCAAGAAGAATGCGATGGCAAAGACTTTAAACAAATCAACCAAATCAATATCAATAACCAATATCGATTCTTTTTATCATGAGGGCCCAGCAATCAGCAGGTACCTGTTGACACCAGGGCGGAGAGTGGGAAAATTTTGATGGATGAAATAGGATACAGGGTATATATAGCCCTAAAGTTGATTCTTAACACGATCCATTTTCGAACAATCATCTTAAAGGAAATTGTAATACCCTATTGTATGTCCTATAGATTTTTTTTTTATTGTAATTTTTAAAAATATTTAAATGGATGACGCACAAGGCAAGGTTAATTATTCGAAGATACTTGCTATAGTGTTTCTTGAAAATCTTTGCGATCATTTTAAAAGTGGACGGGGTTGATAAAGTTGAAATTTGAGCTATCATCTTTCTCACCGTCCAGCGACCTCCGTCCGTTTCCATATCACAGTAAACAAAGAGAGGATCATCACCATCTCCATCGGGATAGATGGGATACACTCCACTGAGATGGGATAGTCCACCAGTCTGAATCTCAGCGCAGTCACGTGGGAGTCTAGGAACTGATAGGAAACACAAAGGTGGTGTAGTTGAGAGAATTGAATTTCAGAGGACCGGCCTCTAATAGGAAAAGGGTCACGGATTGTATTCTTGCTTGGTACTTGGTGTTATGCTAAAACAATACAGTGTACAGCTGTACAAAACTTAGCAAAGAAAGTTGACAAGTAACAGGAGGAGTAATCATACCAAGAGGCGCACTAGGAGGATTAAAAAAAACTTTACATTTCATTAAGTCGCTTTTGATCCTGAATGATTGAATAAAACATCTCATTGAGAGAAAAAACACGCTTAGACTCTTTACTAATGGCCTTATAATCTCAATTTTGTTATGAACATTAAATGCTACTATATAGTGCAACAACAGATAAGGAATACAGAAATACAGAGGGTGAGTCAGTAATTCCAAATGACCCTTGTACTGTTCATATTTTATTCATTTTGTGGCAATTCCTAAATATGTCACTCTCTCATGGTTCGTCAAACACCGCACAATTCACTAATTCAGCCATGCGTCAGCAAAATGACGCTCCATTTGCAAGAGGCATTATAGCCGTTATAACGCCGGACGTTGAGCGGGAGGTGTCATTCGCCTGACGTAGGACTGCGTTAGCAATCTGTGTCGTCTTTGACGCGCCGTTTGAATGTGACACCGTATATATAATAATTTCAAAATAAAGAGCATTTTCATTGATTAATGGCTTATAGATTAATAGCCATCATAGAATTTATTTTTAAAAACACAGACCTCCATCAGCAAAATGAAACCTTGAGTTCAACGGGAATGATATGAAATGCTCGCCGGCCATGGCGGTGACTTGCGTCATTTCGGCCGGTACGATCGTAGACATGTCAGTGAAGTTAGTCATGGCTGATGGTGCTTCTGTCGAAACACATGATTCATACAAAGCATTGAAAAATATTAAGATGATAATGGTGATAATAATGATCACAATGATAATACTACTTAAAATAATAATGATACCGACATTAACAATTATGATGATAATAATGCTACTATTAACGATGATGATGATGAAAATAATGATAATGATAAAAATCAGCATCATAATACGAAGAAAAAGGATAACAAGAACAAGAACAAGAACGAGAAGAACGAGATAAATAATATCATCAAAAATATGGCTTTTGATGAAGATCATTTAGGGGGTCTAGGGGTCACCTATCGTGTTAGGTTCATGAAATGTGAAATAAATAGGCTGCTTACTGGCAATGGTTAATCTGAAATGCACGAAGTGTGATTTCTCCACGACTGTATACAATATATGTGGATATTCGGTTTTATTTGAACCATGATGTAATTCTGAAATCATCTACAGGCCTAACAAATAACCCCACTAGGGGTCACATGAGATTTACAGTTCTAATATAAACATTGTTCCGCCCCTTTGGGTTTCAGCCGTCAGAATTGTGGAAAGATGTATCAAAAGAACAACTTTTACCAAACCAATATCGAAACTTGTATAATGCTGGAACATTTCTAGGGCGGTATACCCCCTTCCCCCGACAAATTATTCAAGTACTAATCCCCATGATCTCAAAACCTCCTCCCGAATGCAAAGGATTGAGGCCCACTTGGAATGTTTTGATTCCCTTATCGCTTTAAAAATATTGTAAATAGACTGGATCAACCCTCTCATAGTGTTTTACTCATGATGCCTCGTTGCCTTGACGACAATAAACAAAATGTCAACTTGGTGATGAAGTTCATATTTGCCAATTTTGTCTCGTCAAACTTTGTTTCTGATAAATAAAAAAAATTAAAAATATGTTTGTATTTGTATCGGCAAGTCTACAGGAGCTAGAGGCATTTGCCTCCCTCCCTCCCTCTCTCCCCTCTCTCCCTCTCTCTTTTCTCTCTCTATCTGTTCCTCTCTCTCTCCCTATGCCTCCTTCACCAGTGACTGAAGATCACTCAACAACAAAACCGGCTTTTAAAATATCAATTATTTTTTAGCTAATACGATTTCAGCAGAATAGTTGATAAGTAGCACCGTGCCATTTTCACGAATTACGAGTTTTTAATATTTTGATTAAACGATTATTATGAAGAAGAATATTTTGTTTGGCGAATATCTGTGGTACTGACGCAAACTGTGGGGCATGGAATCATCGAAAAGAAAGAAATAGTGATAATGATAATAATAATGATAATAGTAATAATAATACTTATACTAATAATGGTAATATTAATAGTAATAATAAAAATACCTATAGTATGAACATTAATGATATTAATAAAAAGCTCGAATTTGTTCAGCTATTTATAGTTACATGATGAATATGAGGTCAATATAATTATTTTTCATTTATCTTTTTCCGAATCAACATGAAAAGCATGAGAAAGCTTAGATCTTTTGTTATCTCTACAAGAACACGGCAGTCTTGTCTTTAAGAAATGAAATGGAATTCTGGTAATAAAATGGCTCATTAGTAAGCTTTTTGTTTAGGCAGCAGAATGTGATCGAATAAACGAATACGTACTGGTAGGGCCTAAAAGTTCACATATTCTCAATGCGCGTGTATCTCTTATATGCATGAGTCGTTCGCCACTAATAGCACATGAGGGTGTGTGCGTATGTGCATGTGTGTGTGTGTGTGTGTAAGTATGGAAAGCCGTTGGTGACTTTATTCACGTGCCCCAGACGTATGGAACGCGGCACACGGGTGCTAAATTGACCAATCACCGCCTGTTATTTAGCAGGCGCGTGCAAGGTGCGATAGCACACGCCTGTTACTTTGCCAGACGGATGCGCAGAACGCTCGTAATTTGATTTTTAAGGCAACCAATCAAGTCCGCTGTTACAAAGCTGCTCAGCTCGATCAGTACGTACGGGGCCTGTTCGCTATTACAAAACTGCTCAGGTCAGTACATATTGGATGGGGGACACACCCACGGCCAGGCACGGATCCAGGGGAGGGCCGAAGGGGTCTCCCCCCTCCCCCGCCAAAAAAGAGAGAGCTAGAGAGAGAAGGAACAGAAGGGAAGGGGAAAGAGGAAAGAAAAGAGGGGGAAAAGAGATCGGCGGGGGGGGGGGCGACTGAGGGCCTTGCCTCCGAGGCTGTTTCCCCCTCCCCCTCCCCCGAAAGAGAGAAAAGGAAGGAAAGGGAAATTTAAAAAAAAGGAGAAGAGGAGTCAAAGGGAAGGGGGAAAAGGAATAAGAAAAATAATGAAGGAGGATATCAGTTACGATTTTCTCGCCAACAATTTGTTGATCCTCAGGGGGGGGGGGGGACAAAAAAGGAAAAGAAGAAAAGAAACAGGTGAAAAGAAAGGGAGGGGGTCAGATGCAATTAATCCAGCCAACAACATGTGGTTCGGGTAGGGGGTGAAAGGCCTTTGCCTCCCCCAGCAAACTTTAAAAAGAGAGAAGGAAGGGAAGGGGAAGGGAAAGAGATGAGAAAGGGAAAGAAAAAATAAGAGGAAGAAGAAAGGTAGGGGTGATCAGTTGCGATTTTTCCCTCCATCAAGGAGTGGATCGGGGGCGAAAGGCCCTTGTCTCCCCCTCCTCCCCTCAGCAAAAGAGAGAGAGAGAGAGAGAGAAAGAAAGAAAGAAGGGAGGGAGGGAATGGGAAAGAGGAGAGAAAGGGAAAGAAAACAAAGAGTAAGAGGAAAAGAAAAGGGGGAAAAGATATGGTTTCGCGCTCATCTCGCCTCCGCCAAACGAGACCAAGCGCCAGATACGCCACTAGACACCACTGGCGTACTAATTCGAAGGGGGCAGCCTCCTCCTTAAGTGGTTCATTTCTAATTCGATTTCAGTGGTTTACAAATGTTGTAAAATGACATAATTTTTAAAATAAATTATACTGTTTTATGAGTTTGTTGGAAAATGACGAATTCCGAAAGTTACAGTCAGGCGAGAAATATGCTTATTTTGAGGTCTGCACGTCAAATTGGTGAGGAGTTTAGGGGCGGAGCCCCCGGAAGCTCAGGGGCAATGGGCATTCATTACGTTCAGATGAGCATATTTTGATACCTTATTAATGACACAGGTAGGTCACTAATTGGCGTGGGGTCCAGGGGCTGAGCCCCAGGAAACTCAGGGGCTATCGGGGCATTCATTACGTTCAGATGAGCATTTTTCGATACCCCAGAAACTCAGGGATTTTTAGGCATTTTATAACGGTCAGATAAGCATTCAGGGGCACTCCTTAGGGCCCTTGGTGGGGTCAAGAGGGTGAAGCCTCCGAGATTTCATTTAATTACGGTCAGTTGATCATATTTTGAGACTTCATTATTTTGTGACACTGGCAGGTCACAATTTATTTTTCTTACTTTCTCCTTACTTCTCTTGAATCTACTATTTCAAAATAGTGGGGGACCAATGCCCCCGAGCCCCGCTGTGCCGCGAGCCTTGACATGTAGACCTATAAATAAGCATACTTCTCGCCTGACTGTAACTTTGGGAATTCGTCATTTTCCTAAAACTCATAAAACAGTATAATTTACTAAACATTATGTCATTTCACAACATTCTTATTTGGGGGAGTACGCCAGTAGTGTCCCGTGGCGTATATGGCGCTTGGTCTCGCTTGGGGGGGGGGGGGGGGGAGGGAGCGCAAAAGCTTATCTTTTCCCCCTTTTATTTTCTTATTCCTCTTTATTTTATTTCACTTTCTTTCCTTTTTCCCTTCCCCGACATTCCTTCTCTCTCTCTCTCTCTCTCTCTCTCTTTGCTGAGGGGGGAGGGGAGGCAAGGGCCTTTCAGCCCCGCGATCAACACGTCGTTGGCTGGATTAATTGCAAGTGATCTCCCCTCCTTTTTTACCCTGTTCATTTTTTTTTGTCCTCTTTTTTTCCCTTATAGCTTTCCTCTGTTCCTTTCCCTTCCTCCTCTCTTTTTTTGGGGGGCGAAGGGGGGCTGGAAGGGAAGGCAAGGCCTTTTCCCCCACCCCCGATCCCCTTCTTTTACCTCTTTTCTTATCTTCTTTTTCTTCTTTCTTTCCTTTCTCTCCTCTTTCCCTTATTTTCCTTCATCTCTCTCTTTTTTGTCGGGGGGGGGGGGTGGGGGGCAAGGCCCCTCGCCCCTCCCACGCCTGGTAGCACACACTTTAGCAGTCATGCAGTCATGTAAAACAAACACTTGCAAACTATTATTTTGTTTTAATCTGAGAACGTATACTATTATCTAGATCTGTTAAGAATAAATCATTGTCAAAATCATTCCATAAACTGGGGTAAATAGGCCACCTTTATTACCAACATCGTATTATTATAATTTGATTGCAGGGACCTCAGAGAGAACAGCATAAATACTGATGAGGCTACCCTGGGTAAACAAGACAGTATTAATATTATTATTATTATTATTATTATTACACATATCTTAAACATTCAAATATTAAAAACAAACACAGAACAGAAGTATAAAGAAGGAAAAAAATAATACACAATGAACAAATGAAGATACTACCATCCACCCCCTCCCCCCCCCCCCCATCATTAGTTATTGAGGTTTTGAGAATTTCGATGTCATGGACAAACGAAAATCTTGAATTTTGAATCGGGGGCCGAGCTGTCCTTGCCCCCCCCCCCCCCCCTCCCCCCCCCCCCCCCCCCCAGCAAAAAAAAAGAGAGAGAGAGAGAAAGAGAGAGAGAAGGAAAAGAAGGGAAAGAGGAGAGAAAGGGAAAGAAATAATAGGAAGAAGAAAAGAAAGGGGGGAGGAAGAGATCGGGGTCAAAAGGGCCTTGCCTCCCAGGCTGTTCCCCCCCCTCCCCCCCCCCCCAAAAAAAAAGAGAGAGAGAGAGAGAGAGAGAAGGAAGGAAAAGGGAAAGAGGAGAGTTAAAAGGGAACAAAAAAGAGGAAGAAGAAAAGAAAAGGGTGAAAAGAAGGGAAGGTCAGTT